AAAATGTTTTTATTTTGAAAAGAATAACCGGAAGTAGTAGTACAAGTTTTCATATGTAGCTTGATTACAMCATGTAGTTTCATACTGTGACCACAGGAGGGCGACAAAGCGTCCGAGTCAATGTATTTCCATGAAAACGTGGAACTTTATTGTATTTTTTTCAAAATATAAATATTATTTAATAAGTATTTAATAATGTATTATTAGAACAAACAATACTGCATCCATAAATTGTCAAATTACCATGTCAATAAGCCACCTTGAACATTTTTTAAATTTGTAATTTTTAGTCTGTCCACAAGAGGGCGACAAGAATCCGATGTCTTTTGTTTTTACTCGACAGAATAAACTTTTTTTTAATAGGTAGGTCTCCTGCTATTTCTATTTAGTCAAACGAGAAATTAGCGTCCTATAAACTAGTAAAATGTTCGTTTTCTACCAGTATAGAATAAAAAAAAAACGTTTTTATTAACAGTAAACAAATTAGCGACAGTCTTAAAACAACGAAAAAAATAAGTCTCGTATCTGCCGCCATGACAGTTTTTGTGTTGTTGTCAAGGCGACAATAAAAGTTTCCGGTACCAATTAGTTGTAGTTCCTCTGTGTGACCACAAGAGAGTAGAAACATAAATGCTTTTTTAAAATACTTTTTCTACTGTACTATTTATAATTTTACTGAGAAATGTAAACTAAATGAAAAACAGACCTAAACTATTTTTTTTATCTCAAAAGGTGTTTAATCTATTATTTTTTACATGCAAATTTAACCTAAAATCATATTAAATGTTAAAAAATTATGAAAAATGAAAACAGTTCTTTTTAAAGATTTATCTAAATAGATATAGAGGGTATGTTTAATTGTCAGAGGATGTTCTAGAAATAAAACATTTAAATGTCAGACAAAAGATGTTACTCTTTATTGAACATTTAAAACAAAAATTTAAATTTCTGACAAACTTCAGAAAACTACAAACATTTGAGACAAAATGTTATTTCTTAATCAGGTTTAGAAGCTAGTGGAAAACCCAAACATTCAATTCAGACTGAAAAATATGAACCACAGCTGTGTTCATATTTTATAAACTAACTTAAAATACTTTAATCAGGCACAAAACATATAACATAAAAATAGGCATGTTCTTAAATCAAACCTATCTTTAGTACCTCAAAATCTGCTTTAATACAACTTGTCTGTAGGTTAAAACTGCAAAGATTCCTGCAAAGTATTTTACAACTACAGTAAAAATACACAAAAAAGTAGTAATAAGTTCAAACTTTGAGTTGAAACAGGTTTTAAAGGCCAATTATTTAAAGACAATCTGTCATTTGACACTATGAATTTAAAAACCAGATCAAGTTTTCAGATTAAATAAATCAGAAGAACCAGGATGTTACAGGTGAGTGGACGAGACACGTCCTCACAATTTATTAGCAGATTGGTCATAAAGAATAAAAAAGAAACGTTTACAGAACTTGTAATGAATGGAAAAACAAAAACACAGCAAACATGAGAACAGAAATATTTACGTACAAACTGTAACTGACACATTTCTGTACAGCGGCCGACTAACAGACGTAAAGATGCAGTAAAGTCACGTGAACTCGTCAGCTCCTCTGTATTGCATGCATTCTGTTTTCTACCCAAGGTGCTTCTGCAGAGCCGACTCTCTGCTTCAAAACTATGAGGAGCTTCACAAGGATGCACTTGTGGTGCCAAATCTCACACACATGCAGACAGAACACATTCATACGACACACACACACCTACTCCCCTCATCACTCAAACAAAAACCTGAACACAATCTGTCCACGCCAGTTCAATCTCTCCCAGAACAAGGGAATAATTTAGCTTCATAAAAGGCTTCTTTATAAAAGAAAATAGATATTTTACATTTGTACACGTCATCTATACAGCATAAAGACGGGGAGCAGAGGAAGGGAAATATCCAGAAGTTACACCGATTCTGGCTCGAGCACCCTTATCCCTTCAACAAATGATCCAGATCTTCATCAGGAGAGGAAGTTCTCCATTACGATCTCCTGCTCCTCCTCCTCCTCACCCAGGACTGCAGGAGAGCCCCGCCTCCCTGGACCAGTTCTCACCCGATCCTTCATGACTTCAGTCCGCTCCGGAGGAACACCCGGAGCCTTCGTCTGACCGCTCATTCAACCCGAGTCCGACTCGCTCGTGTCTGAGGATGAAGATGAAGAGGACGATGAAGAGGTGTCTGAGGAGGAGCTGGTGGCGCTGAGACGTGACGGCTGCGTGTGAGCTTCTGAAGGAGGTTTCTCAGCTGCAGGAAACACAAACACAAACATGAGGAGCAGATCCTGCAGAGGCTCATTTCACAAAAATCTGATTTATTAAGTCAGGATATGATACAAAAACTAGGCTTCTAAAAATCAGTTATAAATACTAGATTAGACCCTTATTCTTTTCAAATTAATAATAATTAATAATCTACAGTTTGAAAGTTGCACTTGGTAAGACTTCTTGAAGTAAAAAAAAACCTTTTCAGATTAACAAGATAAATAATCCAACATATTCTGATCTTGTTTAGTACATCAGTCTAACTTTAAACCTGGTGGTAGACCAGGTAAGCACTTCCTCTCCCATGCAACCGGTTCAAGGCTTAATCAATTCAGGTTTACACCCAAATCCTGGATTAATCCCATATCCTAGATTCGTGCAACAGGCCTCAGGTGACAGAAAAACAAAAACCAAAAAGAAAACTCACTTTTAATCTTTGCAGGCTTCTTCCCAGAGTTCAGCTGACCGCTGACGTCCATCAGACGCCTCTCCAGCTCCATCTGCTTCTCCAGAGTGATCTCCTCTCGAGTCTTACCAGCAACGTTACCTTTACTCGCTGTAAACAAACAGAATGAAAAACATTACAGATTTAATTTTATGAGTTAATCTGCCAATTAAACAAAGAAAAAACAGAAAACTAACCATAGGGCTTTCGAGGTTTCTTCCTCAGACACGTCATGACGTATCGCTCCAGCTCCCTCAGAGTGGACGGTTTGAGCGTCTCGAAGTCGATCTCAATCTCCTCAGGGTTGGTGTCTCGCAGCGACGGCTCTCTGGACTGGATGATGTAAACGACCCGGCCCAGCTTCTCTCCAGGCAGCTTGTTGATGTCCAGGCTGAGCTGGCGCTTCTCGTCGTACGACATGGGAGCCGTGTCCTCCTCCTCCTCGGAGTCGAAGTGACTCACCAGAGGGTCGTGCATGGGCTGGGGCACGTTGAACATCATGCCGTTCTTTTTGGACCTGAAATAATAAAAAGATTAAAACCTGTTCAAACTAATGCTCAGTTCACACTCTGTCCAGCAGGGGGCAGCACTCACTTGTTTTTTTTCTTATTTTGAGTCTTCTTCGTTGGCATGAGGGGATTAACTACTCCCTTATTCTTTGATTTGGAACTCTTGGAAATTTTGGGGGCTTTGGGTGGTCTCACAGGCATCACGTCCTCCTCTACCCTCCGATGCTTCTCAACCTTTTTCTTCTTTTTCTTGTCTTTCTTCTCTTTCTTCTTCTTGGGTTTGACAATGGGACCTTGGGACAGAGCGGTGAGCTGCTCGTGTACAGCTTTTAACTGTGACAGGAAACAAAGAGCTGTAACTTCCTGTTTAACTCGTATTTATCACGTCTCTCTGACCTGAACCAACCTGTTCCTGCAGCTCGGCCAGGCGGTTCGCCCTCTCCTCCTCAGAGTCAGAGCTCTGGCTGCTCTCGCTCTCCTCACTTTCACTGCTGAGCTCGCTCTCAGAGGAGGATGATGAGGAGGAGGACGAGGACGACGAGGAGCTGGGAGGGGCTGGAGGCTCATCTGGCATCTTAGCAAAGCAGAACTCAAACACGTCCTGGAAGAGAAAACAGAAAACGTGTGAAAACAGCAGAAATAATTCAGAGTTCAACTTTAACAGGGCTCCTACAGTTTAAGACAAGTTAAATTTAAGACTTTTTAATGCCAATTTAAATTAAATTTAAGACCAATTTCACAATAAACACAAAGGACAAAAACAAAACAACTGTCAGAAACTCATGAAACAAAGTATTTTTGGTTGAAGTATTCAAATATTCCTAATAAACCAATTGTTTTTAACCATATGAAACAAGTTGATAATCTGCCAATAAAACAAAAAATAAAAGAAAACTACTGCTTTTTTGTCAAATATAGCAAAAATATTCTTCGCAGTCAGTTTTAAACTTAATTTAATTCCTAGAGATTCTCCAACAACCCAAAATTTGGAGTTTTAGGACCCACAGTGGGGTCTTAACCCCGATTTACTGTAGATGAAACCTTAAAGTGCCTGTGACATGTTTTTTTTTTTGTAAGAAATGTGAATGATTTTTGGAAAGACAACATTATTAAAATTATGAAACAAATTCCACGATGCTCAGCAACAGGAAGTGATGTTAAAGAGGAATGTCTGCATGTGAATATTTTAAAAATACATAAATGTTACCAATTAGTTTAATAGTTGAGATGGATTACAATCAACCTATTTACAATATTAAACATTTCAAAGAGTGATTTAAGACATTTTAACGCTAATTAAGTCCTTGGATCGATGAATTCACTGACTAAGACTTTTTAAGGATCTGCAGGAACCATGTTTAATGAAGTTAACCTGGCTCAGTACCTGGAGTTTCCTGGCCATAGAAACCACATCATGATCAGGAGGATTGTACTTGTAGCAGTTGGAGAACATCAGCCTGACATCAGCTGAGAACTGCTGCGAGTCTCGGTACTCTCTGCTGTCCATCTTCCTCTGAAGGATGACATTAAACAGAAAATAAGACCTCCTGAATAAGAAAAGTCTCATCTGTCAGAGAGTTGTGAGTCTTCAGTACCTTGATGGTGCTGAGGTCCATGGGCTGTTTGATGATGTCATGGTAGTCATGCAGGCCAAGCGTGGTGGCGTCGACAGGTTTGTAGAAGGGCCAGGCGTAGGCGGCGTGTTTCTTGGACAGCAGCTCCTTCAGGACCCCGCTGCAGTAACGCAGCTGTGGACCCAGTTTTCCTCGGCGCACCGGCGTGGGCAGGATGGAGTCCGGCAGGTCTTTCTTTGGGGGTTTGATGGGTCGTCCGCTCACCCCTCGCCTGCTCGCCGCTGTCGATTTAGAACCCATCATCATCGATCCTCGACCCATGTCCATCCCCAGTCCCGGACCCAGACCCTGGTTCATGCCCAGAGAGCTGTGGTCCATCCCCAGAGAGGTGAGGGTCAGGGGGGAGTCGTGCCCACTCCCCATGCCCAGGCCGATACCGCTGACCCCCATGGTGCTCATGATGGGCATGGCCACGGTGGTGGGAGTGGTGGTGTCTGCTTTCCTCTTCACGCCTTTTTTCTGTAACAAATTGTCAGAGTTTAACTCTCAGCCTGAAACGACTCGTCACAAGCATTAAACTCTGAAACGACTCGTCACAAACGTTAAACTCTGAAACGACTCGTCACAAACGTTAAACTCTGAAACGTCTCGTCACAAACTTTAAACTCTGAAACGACTCGTTACAAACGTTAAACTCTGAAACGAAACGACTCGTCACAAACTTTAAACTCTGAAACGTCTCGTCACAAACTTTAAACTCTGAAACGTCTCGTCACAAACTTTAAACTCTGAAACGACTCGTTACAAAGGTTAAACTCTGAAACGAAACGACTCGTCACAAACGTTAAACTCTGAAACGACTCGTCACAAACGTTAAACTCTGAAACGACTCGTCACAAACGTTAAACTCTGAAACGACTCGTCACAAACGTTAAACTC